GGAACGGACGGGGGAGGGGGGGGAGGGGGGAGCGGAGACGGACAGAAACTGGGGTGAGAAAATACATGCACATGTGGCGTCCCTCGGTGGCGCTCAGCCGGGTCGTCTCCTCAACAGTTTGATCACATTAGCAGATGCGCATTTTCCAATTAGACCGAGACGTTTGTAAGAAACCGGGTCGCACTCTGCTCCTCTCCCCCCTACCCTACCCTACCCCATCCGTTCCCTGATTCCCTTTCACCGCCCTCCCCCATCGACGTCCTGAGCTGTCTACAGCTCGAAATTGTGCGAATGGCTAGAGGAGGAAGAGGTGGAGAAAGGCTGTTTACGAAGTTGACATACCCCCTACCTTCGGGACCAAAGTGGTTTTACCTAGCCCTGGTTCAGGCACTTATTCCAGTGAAAGTCTGCCAAATCGGAGTCAACCATAGGTTCAAAATTTACATACGCCTTCTTAGATGGTTATCGAAGGTGTGTGGGGTTGTCAGGGCGAGCTGTTCCCACATGCCTTCTTTTACGTCGCTCAAAGGTTCCAAATGACATCTAGCCCTTAGTAGTTATGAGTCCGAAAAGCCAGACAACTCCCTCACGGTAAAAATGACTTGTATGCTCGCCTAAACAGGACAGGGGATTGAATTGAAGGCGAATTTATCGATAGCAAAGGCATACTCGCCAAAATAGCAGCTTTTATTAGATATCGCCTCATGAAGATAAAACAAGTTGAGGGATTCATATAGTGAAATAAGTAAATTATAAGATGATTCAGAGGATTTAGTCCTGCTTTTTCCCGTCAAAGCTGGCGTTCTGTCGTCTACAAATTCTTCGACAACATTATTTGGATCGGTAGAAAATTAACCATGATCTCAGTGGTATGAAAGATCGACCTGACGTACAACCTCGTCAAAATGAAAGCGCTCGTTCCCATGCAAGGATAATGAACGACGATAAGAAGAAAGGGTTCTACGAGCACTTTTACCCTGTTACCAGTTCTGTTGACAGAAAGGACGCGGAAAAAAGCGACTTCTACTCTAAGACATTTTACCCCGCCCTCCCTTCCTTTAAAACAAGTAAATTAACTTTTTCCAAAACCACTGATATGACTAGAGACTTACGCTATGCAGCTTGAAGTAGAGTCCACAGGCATTGCAAACGGGCTCGCCGCTGTTGTTGCGTCGCCAAAGAGTGGTCGTCGCGGTATGACAGTTAGAGCAGATTGTCCCGGTTCTACGACTGGAAGACTGCTGAAATGGGGAGGAAAATGGTTTTAGATAAGGGATCTTAGTTGGTTGCTTCACTGTTTTCCGTTTAAGAGCAGTGCTTTGAGACAGCTAAAAGGGCAAAACAATTGCTAAGTTCAACTGCCGGCATCAGAAGTACCGACCAGTGATGAGAATGGTTGCTGATGATGATTGATTGATTCATGAAGAAAAAGAAGAAGAAGAAGAAGAAG